TCCCCGGCCCTGGTCGGGGAGGTGGAGGCAACCAATTGATGTGTCTCTCTCACATCAGTGTTTCTCTCTCTCCCTCTTCCCCTTCCACTCTCTCTAAAAATCAATGGAAAAATATCCTTGGGTGACAAAAGAAATAGAAAAAGAAAGGGAGGGAGAGAGAAGAGACAGAGACCTCTCTTCCTCCCTCTGCATGCGCTCGCATGAAAGCCGTGTGGAGACGGATTGGAGGCAGACTCCTGCCGCCCGGAACAGAGCCTTCGCCGGCGCCCAGGCCCTACTGGGACCTGGCCTTGGACTTTCAGCCTCCGGACTGTGGGAGAAGCATGTGTGCTGTGTACGCCCCAGTCCGTGGCATTTTTTATGGCAGCCCGAGCAGACTGAGCACCTTCTATGCAAGCAAGTGAACAGATGAAGTGAAACAGGAGACTTGGGGAGACTCCCAGCCGCTCAGGGAATGAAGGGGGTGACCTGTGTGGGCCTCAGCTGGGTGATGTCAGTGCCCCCGGCGCTGCAGCAGGGTCCCTGCCCTCCGAGCAGCTCCTCGTCCCCACCTGTGCTCCCACAGGCAGGCATCTCTTTCTAGTCTGTTGTCCCCGTGGCCCTGGGTGTCCCTCAGGCTCAGGTTCCCACAGGAGAATGTGCCCAGGAGGGGCTTCCCGTCTGGTTGTTGGGTACTCGCTGCTCCCTGGCCTGACAGTCGGCCAAGGACGGACACGACATGGCCTGCCTCCCGCTCCCTCCCCCAGGCCCCTTGCTGGAGCCGTGCACACTGGCAGCGCCTGGCCCCGCCTGAGAGCAGTGGAGGTGCCGGGGGACGGCGTCTGGACATATGAGAGTCAGTGTCCTGCTAAGGAAGCTTTCCCGTCTGCTTCCCAAAGCCCCTCTCTGGCCTCTTGTTGCCCTGAGCTCTTGCATGTGCCCCTTCTCCCTTCTCCTGGTCCTTGAAACTGCATCCCTTACTTCTGGCTGTTTGCCCTCCTCTGGCCTCCTGAAGGCTTGTCTGTCTTCCTCCTCTGGTCGCACAGCCATGGCTGCCTTTCCAGGAGAGAGTGCTGCCCCAGCCGCACAGCCATGGCCACCTTCCAGGGAGGGTGCTGCCCCAGCCCTGCCTCGTACAGCCATGGCCGTCTTCCCAGGGAGGGTGCTGCCCCGGCCGCACAGCCATGGCCACCTCCCAGGGAGGGTGCTGCCCCAGCCACACAGCCATGGCCTCCTTCCCAGGGAGGGTGCTGCCCCAGCCGCACAGCCATGGCCTCCTTCCCAGGGAGGGTGCTGCCCCGGCCGCACAGCCATGGCCACCTCCCAGGGAGGGTGCTGCCCCAGCTGCACAGCCATGGCCTCCTTCCCAGGGAGAGTGCTGCCCCAGCCGCACAGCCATGGCCATCTTCCAGGGAAGGGTGCTGCCCCAGCCGCATAGTGATGGCCTCCTTCCCAGGGAGGGTGCTGCCCCAGCTACACTGCGATGGCCTCCTTCCCGGGGAGGGTGCTGCCCCAGCCGCACAGTGATGGCCTCCTTCTCAGGGAGGGTGCTGCCCCAGCTGCACAGCGATGGCCTCCTTCCCGGGGAGGGTGCTGCCCCAGCTACACTGCGATGGCCTCCTTCCTGGGGAGGGTGCTGCCCCAGCTACACTGCGATGGCCTCCTTCCCGGGGAGGGTGCTGCCCCAGCTACACTGCGATGGCCTCCTTCTCGGGGAGGGTGCTGCCCCAGCCGCACAGCGATGGCCTCCTTCCCGGGGAGGGTGCCCCCCTAGCCGCTGCTTCTGACACTACACTCTTGGGTGGGGAGAAGTGAGGTTCTGCTCTCACGTTGTGAAGCCCCAGCCCTCCTTGGACAGGAATCCCTGTTTCCTCTCCCAGCAGCAGGACAGGCCTTGCGTTTATTTGTAGAACAGCTGACCCTTGAGCTTCACGATCAATGTCACTTTACCCAGCAGATTACCACCTACAGATGTTTTCCAAGCTTCCCTTGATATTTTATTCTCTGTCCACAAAGGGACCCTGTGGGAGCATCTCCTAATACCTTATAATAATACACCATCAAAATAGTTTGCTTATGTATTACACATAAAATTCCTTGGGAAGGGAGGGGAACCTACCAGGATATTGACTGTAGGACAGAATTTAGGGGGAAGTGGAGGGGAATAAGGAAGAAAAGAAAAAGATAACTTGGGAAAATGTCTTCATTTTAATATATGTATATTAAATATAATTTGTTTTTTTTAAATATATTTTATTGATTTTTTACAGAGAGGAAGGGAGAGAGAGAGTTAGAGACATCGATGAGAGAGAAACATTGATCAGCTGCCTCCTGCACACCTCCTCCTGGGGATGTGCCTGCAACCAAGGCACACGCCCCTGACCGGAATCGAACCCGGGACCCTTCAGTCCACAGGCCGACACTCTATTCACTGAGCCAAACCAGTCAGGGCATAATTTGGGTTTTTTAAACAATTGAATCCAAATCTGTAAAGCCATAAAAATCAGGTTAGTGTTTGTGGCCACTTTACCTGTTTCCCCCAGGTAGCATGCGTCAGGCGGCAGGTGGGGCTTGCTCACACCCTGTCATGGAGGCACATTTACCTGAGATTTAAGTCATAGTCATGGCCTCTCATATTTTATTTGACAAAAAAATAGAAACCACCACAACATTTTAATACTTGCTTTAAAATGATTTTCCCAGCCCTAGCCAGTTTTGCTCAGTGGCTAGAGCTTCAGCCTGCGGACCAAAGGGTCCGGGGTTCGATTCTGGTCAAGGGCACCTACCTTGGTTGCAGACTCTTCCCCATCCCAGGCCCTGGTCGGGACTCGTGCAGGAGGCAAGCAATCGACGTGTTTCTCTCACATCAATGTTTCTTTCTCTGTCCCTCTCTCTTCCACTCTTCCTAAAAATCAATGGAAAATATCCTTGGGTGAGGATTCACAAAAAAATAAAATAAAATAAAATGATTTGCCCACCCAGTGTGACTCGGTGGTTAAGCATCAACCCAGGCATCACATGGTTACTGGTTCAATTCCCGGTCAGGGCATATGCCTGGCTTGTGGGTCCGACACACAGTAGAGAGCATGCAGGAGGCAGCCAATCAATGTTTCTCTATTCCTCTCCCTTCCTCTCCCTCTAAAAGTCAATAAAAACATTTTTTTTAAAGAGTAAAATGTTAAACCTGGGAGGTATTAATTGAATATAACATGTTTGTAGGACAAACCATTACAAAAAAGAATTGCCCAGGAATCTTTACTAGTCCTTATCTGTTACCTTAGATTTGTAAACATCTTTGAGGAGAGGGTTTTTTTTCCTAATGTGCCCTGGATTCTTCCCTTCATGCGGAAGCTCTCCCAGGACATGTAGTGTCTGTCTTTAGTGTTTCTAACCAGCTGATGACCCAAAGCCTTTTAAAGTAATTTTCCCTGGGAGGGCGTTTTCTAAGTGACAAATCACCCTTTATTTTGCTCCATTTTGCTGATAGCAAAGATAACTTTGTTTCCCTTTCCTGTATCGTGGTCTTGCACTCTTCTCTTTGCCCTGCATGTAACAAAAGAGAACGGGAAAATCCTGTAGAGAAAACACCCAGTGATCAGACTCGGCTCTGAGGAAGGGTGATGCCTTTCTTCTGCGCATGGGCCGTGAGCTCCGTGGCTCCATCTGCACACTGTCGGCCAGCACAGTGTGGAAAGGAAGCTGCTTCGTCGGTTGCCGCATTGCATCAGGGCCTTTACCTGACAGTTTCCAGCTTCTCTAATCAATGCCTGGGCTTCCTCAGCCCGTGGAGAGCAGCTGCCTCTAGACCAGGGGTCGCCAGCCGGTGGTCCGCGGACCACTGGTGGCCTGTGAGGTCCGAAAGGTTGGCGACCGCTGCTCTAGACAGTGCCACACCCCTTACCCCCCTGTCTGGGCCCCCTCTCCCCTGTGGTCCTCCCAGCTTCCTGAGACTGGGCCCTTCTCATCCTGATTACACCGTTGCTTCTCTTAGAACTGAGAAGTGGTTATGCATCTCGTTTCCCTGTTACAAGTAGAAAATAAAGGATCGAGCGGACTACTTTTTAAGATAATGACCCACTTGACTTATTTTTCTTACTCTGTGAGCCTCTGAGTTTATAGACTCAGTAGACGAGGAGCCCACTGTGTTCCCCACTGTGGCTACCACTGTCTAGTATAATTGCAGCCTCCTCCAGGGCCTGCTTCTGCTAATTCGCTGACAGTGACATAGCAACCAGAAGTATCTGTGCTTCCCCACAGGAGTTTCCTCAGACGGCCAGTGTTCTCTGCACAAAGATAAGTGCTCAGGAAAGTATAAATGAGGTAGCTGCTTGTTGCCAGGAGCGTTGTGTGTGCCTACCAGCGGTGTAGAACAGAAGGAGGGCCGCCCGGCCCTGGCAGAGCCTCACTCCAAACCCCGAGCGCTGCAGCAGAGAGGGACCGGCTGCTTTGCTATGAGTGGCCCACCCGAGAGAGCGGGAAGCCCATGCGCAAAAGCCCGGCTCCCGATGGTGTGCAGGCCCCAGATGAAATAGGGCAAAAGCACAAGACACCGAGGGCTAGGGGTGCCCTGATTTGTTGGACCTGGGGAGAAGTGGGGAGAAAGAGAGGAGGGGGTGTGATTTGTAGAGCTGGGATCTAAAACTAAGTTTAATCAAAGTCATAAGGGCCCTGGGTTTGACCAGGGGAGATTTTTGCCTTCAGGCTTGTTTTTACTCTCACCCACGTACCCTCTCACCTGGCCTACGTGACTAGGTAAGTGGGTGTTTCCAAACGCGAATGCCACAGGACAGGCTGGGGATGTGCTTCAGAGGACGTGATGGTGAGGTCATTCGGCCTGAGTGTCAGAAGACAGCAGGGACGATGGTGGCTCACTGGGCATGCTTGCCCTGTCCCAGGGCCAGCTGACCCTCTGCATGCGTTCCCTAGGTAGGGTTTGCAACCAGCTGTTTTCTCCTCCTTCCCAGCGTCCCCAGGGCTACGTGTCTCACACCTCTTCTCTTTCTCTCCTGTTTTCCATCAGGTGGCAGCAGACTTCCAAGTCTTCAGGGTTGTCCAGCAGCTTGCAGCCTGCGGGTGCCAAAGCTGATGCCCTCAGGGAAGAAATGGAGGAGGCTGCCAACAGAGTGGAGATTTGCAGGGTACCCCCTCTTTGTTCCTCTCTACTGAGACAGACGGGGGAGCCCTAGGGGAGTCCCTTTTTGTTCACGGGAGTTCTGTTAAAACCCTAAGGGTGAGCCTCAGCTTGAACTAACTGACCCCAGCTTGCCGGCCAGCATCTGCAAAGAGCCGGGCATGAATCCTGAGAGCTGGGGCTCTGAGGGTGACATAGACAGGTGGGCAGCAGGGCTGATCATTGGTGTTCCTGTCTGGTAGGCAAAGAGAAAATGACTGTGGTGTCTGCTTGAAACTTTTGTGAGTCGTGCATCCCAATTCATAGTTTCTAGGCTGCATAGCACAGTTGATCGTTTCCAGGGGTGGGGAACGTCCAACCCAAGGGCCTGTAAAATCATTTGGTCTGGCCCTGCCAGGGCAATAGGGGGGAGTTAATTAAATGTTTGACCAAATATAGTAGGCTAAGTTGATAATTTTGTATGGCCCACGGATGATGTTACAAATATCCAAATATACAGATCTGTTAGAATATTTATTTACTTACTTATTTTTAAATATATTTTTATTGATTTCAGAGAGGAAGGGGGCAGGAGAGAGAGATAGAAACATCAATGATAAGAGAGAATCATTGATTGGCTGCCTCCTGCACACTCTCTACTGGGGATCAAGTCTGCAACCTGGGCATGTGTCCTGACTGGGAATTGAACCATGACCTCCTGGTTCATAGGGTTGACACTCAACCACTGAGCCATGCCGGTTGGACCCCACCCCTGATTTAGACAACACATGAGCCTTAGCTCACTGCTGGTAAATTACCTCGGGTGCCTTTTAATATTTCCCAGTCACTTTATCAATCCCTCGCTGCTGGGAGACGCTTCCCTACCTCGCCCAGGAGGTAGTCCCGGAGGAGAAAAGTTCCCAGCTGAGAGGAATGCCTCCTGAGAAGCCCACCTCCGCACTCAGGGGCGGGGGAGACCTTCATCACACGTGGTCAGATGTGTCCCGGCCGCTTCCCCCACAGACGTTTCATAGGACTGACAGCAGTACCATTCCTGCAATGCCATTAGCAGTGCCATTCTCTGTGCATGGACATCTGCAAATGTACAGATCTGTTAGTTTGGGGATAAAGGTCATGCTTCTGGAACTGTGCTGGGAACTGCTGTCTTCATCACAGTTTTAGGGGAAAGTAGCCCCTCTGCATGCAGATGCCCCTGTTCTGTGCAGCTCTGTCTAGTCTGTTAGCTTGTCCACCAGCTTCTCCTTTGTGATCACCCCGTGCAGCTGACTTTGACCTTGCCTTCAGGTGACACTCAGAGTCAGGTGGAACTTCTCTCTGGAATTAGAAACATTGAAAAATGTTTAAAGAATTAATGATCTCGCCCAGCCCATGTGGCTCCATGATTGAGCGTCGACCTATGAACCAGCAGGTCATAGTTCAATTCCGGTCAGGGCACATGCCCGGGTTGCAGGCTCAATCCCCAGTATGGGATGGGGAAGGCAGCTGATCAATGACTCTCTCTCTCATCATTGATGTTTCTGTCTCTCTCTCCCTCTCCCTTCTCTGAAATCAATAAAAATATATTAAAAAAAATAATTAATGATCTCAGCCTGCAGTACTGTACAACCAAGTGAAGTAAGTCCAGTACTTCAGGGGTTTTGGCAGATGTACAGTGACATGCATTCACCACTGTTGTGTCACACAGAACAGGTTCCCTGCCCTACAAGTCCTCTGTGCCTGATCACCCCCACCCTGGCAAGCACTGGTCTGCTCACGGTCTCCACTGGTTTGCGTTTTCCAGAATGTCGTGTAGCTGAATCGTGGTCAGGGGCCTTCTCAGGCTGGCTTCTTTCACTTCCTGTCTCTCCACTTAATGCCTTTCACTTAATGTCTCCATGTCTTTTCATGGCTTAATTGCGCATTGCTTTTTAGTGCTGAATAATATTCCATTTTCTGTATATACCACAGTTTATTTATCTTCTTACCTCCTAAAGGAGATCTTGGTTGCCTACAGGTTTTGGCAATTACAAATAAAGCTGCTGTGAACATCTGTGTGCAGGTATTTGTACATTTGCAATTAATTTGGGGTAAAAACCAAGAAGCCTAATTTCGGGATCTTGTGGTAAGAGTATCTTTCATTTTGTAAGAAACTTCCACACTGAGTCCCAAAGTGGTCCTCTCATTTCGTAGTCCAGTAACAAATGAGAGTTGCTTTGTTCCGCATCCTTGACAACAGGTGGTGGTGTCAGTGTTTTGAAGTTCAGCGATTCTAATAGTGCTATCTCATTGTTATTTTAATTTGCAATTAAAATCCCAATATCACTTTGGGATTTTCCCTGCTAGCTTTCCGTATGGACTTCTAATTTCATTTCATTGTGGTCAGAGAGCAGGTATTATATGATTTCTATTTTTTAAAACTTGGTAAGGTGTATTTTATAGCTCAGAATGTGGTCTCTCTTGGTGAATGTTCCCTGTGAGCTTGAGAAGAATGTGTGTGCTGCTGCTGTTGGATGGAGTAGTCTATAGATATCAGTTATACCTGCTCGATTGATTATGCTGTTAAGTTCAACCATGTCCACACTGATTTCATGCCTTCTGGCGTGTCTATTTCTTATATAAGGGTGATAAGTCCAACTATAAGAATGGACTCCTATTTCCTCTTGCAGTTGTATCATTTTTGTGTTAAGTAGTTTGATGCTCTGTGGTTAGGTACATCATTAAGGGTTGTTGTGTTTTCTTGTAGAATCAGCCCTTTATCATTATGCATGATTCCTCTTTATCCTGATACTTTCCTTGCTCTGAATTCTGCTCTGTGGGAAATGAATATAGCTAAGCCCGCTTCTCCTGATTAGTGTTAGCATGGTGTATCTTTCTCCATCCCTTTACTTTTAATTTATATATTGATACTTAATATATAGATGGTGATATGTATCTTTATATTTAACCTGAGTTTCTTATAGACAACATACTTGGTCTCTTTTTAATCTATTGTGACCATTTCTGTCTTTCCATTGGTGTATTTATTCAGTCCATTGATATCTGGGAGATCATTGATATAATTGGATTGATATCTATCATATTTGTTATTTTTCTAGTGTTGCCTTTGTACTTTGCTACTGTTTTTGTCCTCTACCTTTTTTTTCTGCCTTTTGAAGTTTTAATTGAACATTTTTTATGGTTCCGTTTTTTTCTCCTTTCTTAGCATATCAATTACTTTTCTTTTTCTTTCCTTACCTTTTTAGTAGTTGCCCTGTAGCTTGCAATATACATTTACAACTAATCCAAGTCCACTTTTGAGTAACACTTTTCTACCTCACATGTAATGCAGGTACCTTTTAGTAACAAACTATTTCTAATTCCATCCATTTCACTTATACATAAGCATACATAGCATAGATATGTATGTATGTTTACACACACATATATATACATGCATTGTTGCTATTATTTTGAACAAACATATCTGTTAGATCAATTAAGAATAAGTTTATTTTATCTTTACATATTCCTTCTCTGATTCTCTTCCTTTCTTTATGTAGAGCTACGTTTCTGACCAATATAATTTTCCTTCCACTGAAGAAATTTTTTTAACATTTTTTGCAAGGCAGGTCTACCGACAACAAATTCTCTCAATTTCCATTTGTCTGAGAAAGTCTTTAGTTCTTTACTTTTGAAGACTAATTTGACAGGGTGTAAAATTCGAGGTTGGTGGGGATTCTTGTTTGTGTTTTTATCTTAACACTTTAAGTATTCCACTTCTCTCTCTTCTTGGTTTCTGAGAAGTCAGATGTAATTCTTATCTTTGCCCCTCTGTGGGTAATATGTTTCTCCTCTGTGGTTCTTTCAAAAATATTTTTTAAATATTTTTTTCTGAATATGATACGCCTATATGCACCTTTTTGGGGGAGGGGCATTTATCCTGTTTGGTGTTCTCTGAGCTTCCTGGACCTGTGGTTTAGTATTTGACATCCACTTGGGGAAAGTCTCACTTGTTATTTCTTTAAATGTTGCTTCTGTTCCTTTCTTTCTTCTCTTCCTTCTAGTATTTCAGCCAAGCATATGTTACACATTTGGAAGTTGCCCCACAGTTCTCAGGTATTCTGTTCCCTTTGTTCCTGTCTTCTTTCTCTGCTTTTCAGTTTTGAAGTTTTATTGTCACATCCTCTAGCTCTGAGGTCCTATCCTCAGTCATATCCAATTTGCAGACAAGCCCATCAAAGGCTTGGTTTACTTATGTGATAGCATTTCTTTTCTTTTTCCTTTTTAATGTATAGCATCCATCCATATGTTCTTGCATGTTGTCGACTTTTTCCATTAAAATCCTTAGCATATTAATCATAGTTTAAAAACATGTTCCTAGCCTGATAATGCCGACGTTTTTGCCATATCCAACCCAGGCTGTGATGCTTGTTTCATTTCTTCAATCTGCGTTTTTGCAGTTTAGTATGAAAAAGGTGGGTGTGGCAGAGTGGGTAAAGGGAACTGTGGTAGCTGGGCCTTGAGTGACAGGGCGGGGAGGGTGAGGGGGAGGGGAGGGCTCTGCTGTCCTAGGAGTAGGTCTGTCTCCGAGGGAGGCCTGTGCTCCGGGCTGTGAACTTCACCAGTGCTTCTGGGTTGTTGTTTCAGATCCTGTGTTTTGTTAGTTTTTGTTTAAGATTTAGGAGGGACAGGCTGGCTAGGGATCGGGTGTTTCTCCTTCCCAGGGTCTGAAGGCTAGACCCTGATAGAACTGAGCATTTCCCTTCCCCCAGGTCAGGAAGGCTCTGATAACCCCCCTGTAGGGCCCTCGCTGGTTTCTCAGTGGGTTTGGCTCAGTGGATAGAGTATTGGCCCGAGGACTAAAGGGTCATGGGTTCGATTCTGGTAAGGGTATGTACTTCAGTTGCAGGAGGCAACCCATCAATGTCTCTCTCTCACATCGATATTTCTCTCCCCCTCCCTTCCACGCTCTCTAAAAAATCAATGGAAAAAGATCCTCAGGTGAGGATTCACAAAAAACAAAAAACCTAGGTTAGGCTCAGATGAAAGACTTTCTCCTGAGGGTAGGCCTTGCTAAGAGGAATAAAATGCTCAAGTGCTCAAAGCTGTTCCTTTCCCCTCCCCCTGTTGAAAGCCGGAGAGGGTTTCTCTGATGTTCACTGTGAGGACTCTGTGTTGTGAGTCTCACCGCAGTGACTGGTGTCCTCAGAGTTTAACCATCAGACATGTGCACACGGGGCCTCGGCGATGGTCAGACCGTTCTGGTTCCGCTCAGGTGTGTGATTCTCTTACTCACCTGCTTTCTCCACTTCGGGGGCAGTGGCTTGCCCTGTGACCTCACTTCTCTGATGGAGCAGAAAAGCTGTTGATTTTTCAGTTCAGCGTTTTACACGTTGCTGGTGGTGACTTCTGATCTTGTGAGCCAGACTGGAAACCAGAAGTCAGTTATAAAGATCAAGGTTACACTCTCTGCCAAGAAAAAGTATTTAAGAGAGAAGTATATAAATATCTTAGGGATTGTGTTAACAGGAATATTCAAAATCCTACAATAATATCATGAATGTAGGATAATTATAAAATAGGACTGAGCAAATCAAAGTCTATAAAATTGAGAGATGTTCCTAGATGAGAAAAGTCAACGTTATCAAAATTTTAATTCCCCCAGAACTGTGTAAGTTGATATAATTGTAATAAATGCTTCAAAGGGTAATAAAGGGTTTCTAAAGTTAATGTGGGAGAATTATTGGAGCTTTGAATTTCTGTCTCTTACAATGTATTGTGAAGTTACATAATTAAAATGTAGGTACTATTTTTAAAAAATAAATAGAAAGGGGGTGGGGGAGAAGGGAGACATCCCAGTCAGAAGAAAATCCAGGCGAGTGAGAAGGTTTATCTGTGACATTTTCAAATTCATGGGGACAGTCTGTTCTGTTTGTGAACAGTATTGAGACCTTTGGTTAGCTCTTTAAAAAATTCTGTATCTGATATAAGTACTAAAGTAAGTTCCAATGTATTAAAGATGTAAATGTTATATTCTCCACTGAACATATATATGGATATTTATATTGTTGGTTGAGGTGCCCTAAGCAAATTAGCAAAGGAGGAAATCATAGAGAGAAAAATGTAATAGGCACTACCACATGGGAGAGCCATTAAAAAAGTATAGGACCAAAAAAAAAAAGTTGCAAATAGTGTCAAAAGATAAATGGAAAATTAGGGAGAATATTAGCAGCATTTGATTAAGCCCTTGGTCTCATCCATCTAAAGAATTCTCACAAATCTTATAAATAAAGTCTCCTACAGAAAAATGGGCACTTAATGTCAACAAGGAATTGACACAAATAGGTAATACATTTAGAAGAAAGTTAACATCTTAAAAAAGCAAACTACAAATTAGGAACATATTTAAATTTTATCTATAAATTTGATTGTGTTTAAAAAGAATTAAGCAATTACTGTAAAAACAAATATTTATGGATTAATTCTTATAGTAAAAAATGTTTTTTCTGATGGTTGACAATATACTATATCAAAAGTCCTAATGTCCCAACTCGTTGTCATCTTTCGAATATTTTTAAATTTAACTATAAGGAATTATATAATCAAAATTAATTTTAACTGCAGAATTTATCCTAAGGAAATAATCAAGAGATGGATGCAAATCTGTATAAACAAATACTTATTCAAATGTCATTATAGTGGGAAAAACTGAAAACACAATATCCAACAATAGAAACCTAGTCCATCCATTTATTAAGTATAAAACATGCTTATCTAGGACTAAATGAGCTACAAAGCATCCTGGCCTCTTTTTTGTAAGCCAAGTGATCATACAAACATGCGCCAATTAACATAAATGCTGATTAAGCACATCACAGCTTATGGCCATTATCTCTGCTGTTGAGGTTACAGGCGGGCGGGGTTAATGACTTGGTATTTTTCCAAGTGTCGATTAATGCAAAAATCAGCAAACAGATGATTTTTAAACACATTTAAATCTGGTGATTATTGATGGAAGTTGTTTTCTTTATAGAAAATTCACTGATGGTTTAGGTGCATGGAAACTATTTGCAGTATCACTGTCTTTCTGCAGTGTGGCTCATTGGGAGGCCACGTTGCTCACTTAATAAGGCCGTCGTCTGAATGTGCCTTCGGAGCTCCTGTCTGTCTCCGAGGCACACGCGGGTGGTCGACTTCTCTAAACTCTCTGGTGAAGATGCAGTTGCCCTGGCCTTGGTCCTTCCTGGGGTCTCTTCCTCTGTCTGCAGAGCCGTGCATCACCCAGCCCCTTGTTTTTCCCTGACTTGGCGTAGCTCCCTCACGCCTGCCAGGCTGGGGATGGGTGTCTGCTGGACCTGCCGGCGTGGGGAGGCTGATTCCCCGCAAAACTGCTTTCTCCTGACCCTTTGGCAGCTGGGCAGCCCTACGAAGGCATTCGCTATCGGGATACTCTGGCGAAAGGGAGCTGAGGGGGGTCTTAGGGCCCATGCTGTTCTTCGGGAAAACTTCCCTTGCTGAGCTCCATTTCTTCATTTGTTCTCACAGCAAATAGTATTGAGCCCCTACTGTCAGAAGCACGTTTGAGACCGAGGAGGACAGACAGATAAGATCCTTGGTAGCTGCTCCTCTGAATCTGGAAATTCCGCACGTACCTAAGAGAGATGAGCATTCCATGTGGCATGGAGAATCCCATGTGACGTGCCTGACGCCTAGACGGTTCCCAGTGCATGTTAACGCATTGGTTCCCTTTCTTCATGGTCTGAAACTGGCCCAGGACAGCTTGGCCTCCTCTGTGCTCCAAGCTCAGAGGACACACTTCCCCTTTAGCTCGGTGCCTTGGTCCTGTGTCTCGTGGACAAGAGCCCTCTGAGGACATGCCCGCAATGCTTGCCTGGAAAAGGACACAGGAGACTGGGAAAGGACACAGATGGCTCCGCACATCCTAGCTGTCTCACTAGGAATGGGCTTAACTGGCAGGTGTGGGGCGGGGTGGTGGGTTGGGATAGAACAGGAGGTTCCGTGAAAAAGGCTCTCCCTGCAGCGTGGAGCTGCCGGCTTTAACTCACTCAGTATCTGGGTCATCTTCTTGTGCTGGTCTCACGTTCACCTCCAAGGGAACATTCTAGACTCTTCTCTCCTCCACTTAGTATTTCTTCTCAAGATCTCCTACCTGAGGCAACCCAACAGGGAGGAGCTTGAGAGATCATGTGACTTGCGCAAAGGTGCTCAGAGACGTGATTAGTGGCGAGACTCCATCCTGCTCAGGTGTGCTTGCTTGTCCCTTCTACGATGTTTCTGCGGAACTGAAAATGGTTCTCTGAGGAGAACACATTGCAGGTCAAACACAGCATCGGGCCATTGCACCATCTCGTGGAGCACTGGATCGCGCAGGACAGTTAGCACTGGATTTGCATGTGCCTCGGCTGAGTCAGGTTCTGATATGTTCTGAATCAGCAATCCTTCCCCTGCCCACCTGTCTTATCCAACTTCTTCCCAGTTGGTGTGCTGCTGTCTCTTTCTCATATGCTGCTTATCAACCAATCAGTATTGAGAATGAAGGACAGCAAAGCAGTAAAATAATCAGAGATGAAATGAGAGAAGGAAGAGAGGACAAGCACAGCGGCTTCTTCCCAGAGGTGGTGTCAGCTGCAGAGGAGTGGGAGTAGCTTGCACATCACCCCCACACCAGCTTTCCTATCTCCCAACGAGGACCCCATGTTGAAATCCTTTGGGAACACCTGGCACAAGTGTTCTGTTCACACTTGCCATTCCCTGGGCCGAGGTCAGGCAGCATGGAAATGTCCAGGGCAGAGTTTGTGACATGTCAGGTTTTTTTGAAAACTAGAGGCCCCGGGCATGAAATCATGTTTGGGTGGGGTCTGGCCGGCCTGCCCCGATAGGGCTAATTGGGCCGGGCTGGCCGGGGTGAGGGGCCGCAGGCAGTTGGCTGGCTGTCCCGCCCCCTGGTGGAACTCCTGGTCGAGGGGACAATTTGCATATTAGCCT